TTTTATTAAATTAAAAATACTACATCAATTACAAAATCTATTTGTAATAATTTATTTGTTATGAAATTATTAATTTCTTTGTCATAATAAAAATACTACATCAAAATGTTTCAAAAATGAAACTAATTTTATTTTGGTTAGGAACCATGAAACTACTTTTATTAATGAAATAATATTATTCAGGTCTTGAAATGTTTCATCGACTGAACCATATTTGGTTTCATTAATAAAACCAATTTCATCTTGGTTATAAACCATGAAACCAATTCCATTTTAATTAGGAAACATGAAACAAATTTAAAAATGAATGAAATATTATTATAAAACCGAGTTCATCTTGGTTAGAAATCATGAAACCGATTCTATTTTGGTTAGGAAACATTTCAACAAATTTCACTGCTGAAACGATGTCATTCATTTTTTTGGAATTGTGGAGTCCATGAAACCAATTTCAATGATGAAACGAATTTCATTAACGAAAAGATGTTATTCGAAATTTTGGAAAATGTTCCATTGACTGAATCATATCTAGCTAAAATTTCATTATGCAGACGAACAATGAAACCAATTTCACTAATGAAAAAATGAGATACAGTTTCCAAAATATTTTTATTGATGAAACTAGTTTCACTAATGAAATCGTATTATTATTTAAAATAAAAATTTCCAAAATGTTTCCAAAAGGATCGAACAATATGGCTGGAAGTTAAAAATAGTTTGTCAATTTTGTCATTTATTGATTAAATATTAAACCTTTTATTTTATTTTTTACTTTCCTAATATAACACATTTTAATATGAACATTAATCAAGGAAATAGATAGATGAAATTGGTTTGTACGGTTTACATAAAAGGGGGTGGTTTACATTTGATCGATACACACACTCTCTCTCTATATAATATATATATATATATATATATATATACATAGGGTTGGGTTCATGTGAGACCAAGGGTTTTTCGTGAAACTTGTAAGACTAATTTATGTTCATTAGTCAACTTTATAAGCTGATGATCTAATAGTCTAAAGTTGCACGGTGACAATTTTGTGATTATTGAGAAGTTTCGTGGCAATTTTGTGATTATCAATATTCAGATTATAGATCTAATCCAAGGGTTGAGAATTGGTCTTACGGGTCTCCCGAAAAACCTTTGGTCTCACGTAAACCCAACCATATATATATATATATATATATATATATGTTGGTTATTATACAACCCTTGACATTTGTGCAACCAATACAACCGACAATTTCATTTGATGAATATGTAATTTCATAAAAGTTTTGATTGTTTCATAATATAAAGTATTGATCATAATTAATGAACTCTATTTATCTTTCATAAATATTCAAATCATAATAAATTAACTCTCATCATTTCCATAAATATCTCAATTGATTGGGTTGTATTGGTTGTACAAATGTACAAGGTTGCATTTGAAATATACCCTATATATATATATATATATATATATATATATATATACTAGAAGAGTACTCGCGCAATGCAGCGAAATACATTGTGTTTTTAATATTTC